GGGTATGACACATGTGCAGCAGCTGGGTATTGGGTATTTTTATTTTCGAACAATAAAGATAAGCAGGTGTTGCACATGTGTCTTACTCATCTACTTGCCGGTATTGTACGTCATTAGTGTAAAGATAAGTGAAAGTTATCTTCGTTAAGGCGACAACTTAACGCTAGGAGAGTTGCAATGCGTCCTGGAGCTCTTTGCAATGTTGATGAAGTGTGTGTGTGTGTGTGTGTGTGTGTGTGTGTGTGTGTGTGTGTGTGTGTGTGTGTGTGTGGTTGTGTGTGTCGCCACGTGCGAGCGTGTGTGCCGCAGTGCAGCGTGTGTGTGCGCTAAAAGTTATATAATCACCAGCATCATCAGTTACTTTAATTTCTCTCTCATCTCCCTCATTTAAACCACCATCTCCCTCGTTTTAACCTCAATCTTCCTCGTTTTAGCCATACATTTTAACCTTCCTCGTTTATACTTCCATCCTCGTTTTAAGAACCTCCATCTACTTCATTTTAACCTCTATCTTCCTCCTTCCTATTATTCAATCCATCTATCACTTCCAACTTTCGATATGATCATTCTTCTCCGAGTGAACATCATAACGCCCATCCCAATCTATGTAATGAGACAGGCAATAATATTTACATTAAACAGCTGTTTCACTCACACCAAAAAAATTGCGACTTTTTTTGTTCATCCGTGCTGGATGAGTTGCCATTTAGCGAATTCTTTTTTTATTTACTTGGTGTTAATACTAATTTGTTGAAGGTTCTCGTGTATAATTTGTCACGGTTGATTGGCTTGTGTAGCTGGTGACAGGTGTATATTTGTATGTGTATACAGCCTGTCTTCACAGGTGTATATTTGTATGTGTATACAGCCTGTCTTCACAGGTGTGTATTTGTATGTGTATACAGCCTGTCTTCACAGGTGTGTATTTGTATGTGTATACAGCCAGGTGTATGTTTGTACAGCCTGTTGTCACAGATGTAGGTATGTGTATACATTCTGTCCTCGCAGGTGTATATTTGTATGAATGTGTATACACCCTTTTCTCGTAGGTAGTAGGGAGGTACTACCCTCCTGTTATATGAAGTTAAAAGGTTGGTAGACAGCGATCATCGAAGGAGGTACGGTACTACCCTCCTGTCATACGAGTGTAAAACTGAAGCCTGTTAAATGTTTTACACTCTGGCATAAATGCTGGTCTGTTTTGTCTCACGAACGCGCAAGACGGCAGGTAAATCTTACAGTAAAGAGTTTGCTTAACTTTCGTGTCTGTTAATAGTTTGCTTCCCAGAGCCAAGAAGCAAAGCATTTTGAGACTAGCCAATATAACATGCACTATGCTTTGTATAACTGTTATGCGTTATTCTTTGTATAACTGGTATACATTACTCTTTGTATAATTATGCTCCGTTCAAGTTTCTCCACTGCAGATAAGGAATTCATTATTATAATTATTATTGCTGCTGCTACAACCGATAACAATAACCTTTCCCCAACCACCAAAATCTCTCCCTCCACCACTATCACATCTACCAGCCACCACCACCATCACATCTACCAGCCACCACCACCATCACATCTACCAGCCCACCACCATCACATCTACACCACCACCACCATCACATCTACCAGCCACCACCACCATCACATCTACCAGCCACTCCACCACCATCACATCTACCAGCCTCCACCACCATCACATCTACCAGCCCCACCCACACACACCATACACATCACTACCAGCCTCCACCACCACCATCACATCTACCAGCCACCCACCACCATCACATCTCCAGCCACCACATCACATCTACAGCCACCACCACCATCACATCTACCAGCCACCACCACCATCACATCTACCAGCCTCCACCACCACCATCACATCTACCAGCCTCCACCACCACCATCACAATCTACCAGCCTCCACCACCACCATCACATCTACCAGCCACCACCACCACCATCACATCTACCAGCCTCCACCACCATCACATCTACCAGCCACCACCACCATCACATCTACCAGCCTCCACCACCATCACATCTACCAGCCTCCACCACCACCATCACATCTACCAGCCACCACCACCACCATCACATCTACCAGCCACCACCACCATCACATCTACCAGCCTCCACCACCACATCTACCAGCCACCACCACCATCACATCTACCAGCCACCACCACCATCACATCTACCAGCCACCACCACCACCATCACATCTACCAGCCACCACCACCATCACATCTACCAGCCACCACCACATCTACCAGCCACCAGAACTCAACATGTACCGCGTACCAACAGGGGGGGGAGAGGGGAAACAATTTAATGCATCTAAGAGAAATTAGTGAGTGTGTGTGTCTAGGAATGCGGGGGAAATTCATCAACCTGGGAGAATGGAGGAGTTGAACCTGCGGTCCAGCAAAGCCGATGAGAATCACTCAGTAAATTCAAGGAGGACAAAGGAAACATGCTCGTCACACCATTCGATACCTTTTTTGACTTCGTGTCAACATTTAAATTGTTTGCCCTTAGTCGGCTACTGTGTATGTGTGTGGTGTGTGTGTGTGTGTGTGTGTGTGTGTGTGTGTGTGTGTGTGTGTGTGTGTGTGTGTGTGTGTGTGAGAGAGAGAGAGAGAGAGAGAGAGAGAGAGAGAGTGAATTTCCGTAAGTGACAAAATTTCTTTTTGCATTTCATCAGCCTTATACCCTAAGAACCTGTTGTACATTTAAACCAGAACAAACACAAATGTAAAAAAAAAGTTTGAACAAATTCTAAAAGTAATTCCCCTACTTTTCAAAAAACCATCGATATTCGAACATTTTCTTGGGAGAATAAACCAAAATAAACACTCCCTCTACCTCCCTTGTAAGTTTGGCAACGCCCACAAAATCATTTATTTTCTCTTTGGTAAAGCCTTCTCAGTATACCTGCTGGAGCACATCGTCAAACACCACTGCAGCCAAGCGGTCATAAACTCAAATACAGCCACCCAGTGTTATTTACAGCTGATGTATTTGGCTTCGAGTACCCGTAAGTTGATCTAGTTTGAGTCATGGAGGTGGGTCTTAGCAACCTGGCAAGCCAAATAGTTGCTACCATACTGCCCAGGAAAATAGCTGCTGCCAAGTTTCCTTGGTAAATAGTTATTACCAAACTGCCCAGGAAAACAGTCGCTGCCAAAATGCCCAGGAAAACAGTCGCTGCCAAACTGCACAGGAAAATAGTACAGAGCTGCCCTACAAAGGTTCCCACGAAAACAATCGCTACCAACTTTCCTAGGCAAACAGTACCAGACTACCCAGGTAAATAGTGGGGTACAAAAAAGCCCTAGACAATACTTTAAGTAAAGAAAGATGATACAAAAGTCTTGTTAGCCAGGAGAAGTGGATCAGATCATAATTACTGCAAAGCAACACTTGTAGCAAAAACTATTACTATCATTACAGATTCAGCATAAACATTTCCCCTCGTAACTCTAGATAATTTTAGTACAAGCGTTAACAACCTCAGCGAAGTCTTGCGTAATTTCCTGTGACGGAAGAGACGTTAATTAGCCGAGAAATTGTTTGAAAACGAACTGAGAGAGATGAGGAAATGTGGGGGGCTCGATACGGCGTTATGTCACTGGCCCTATAAACCATCAACACGAAGCATAGGAAATGTTTTACTCTCTTGTTGGGAAAATTTGGCTAGAGAAAGTCTTGTGGCTTGGCTTGGGTGGTGGCTTATAATACCGAGTCACGATGCACCTGGGTTAAATTATCGCGGCGAGAAAGCTTTGATAAACATGCTGACACTTTGATCGTGATTATTATGAAGATATATTGATCAATAAAGGAGACATATACTGCTTTAGCAATAAAACACGTACACATATATACAACTTAATCACTTTGGTAGATGGGTAGATACAGTGCGCGAACTTGAGAGTGTGAGTGTATCTTCAGTGTGAGTTGAACTCTGGTGTGAGTTGAGCTTCAAAATAAAAGCATCTTCAGTGTGATAGCTCTTCAGTGTGAGTGCATCTTCAGTGTGAGTGCACCTTTAGCGTGAGTGCACCTTTAGCGTGAGTGCACCTCCAGTGTGAGTGCACCTTCAGTGTGAGTACATCAGTGTGAGTGCACCTCCAGTGTGAGTGCACCTTCAGCGTGAGTGTACCATCAGTGTGAGTGCACCTTCAGTGTGAGTGCACCTTCAGCGTGCGTGCACCTTCAGCGTGAGTACACCTTCAGCGTGAATACACCTTCAGTGTGAATGCGCCTTCAGCGTGAGTGCACCTTCAGCGTGAGTGCACCTTCAGTGTGAGTGCATCTTCAGTGTGAGTGCATCTTCAGTGTAAGTGCACCTTCAGTGTGAGTGCACCTTCAGTGTGAGTGCACCTTCAGTGTGAGTACACCTTCACCTTGATCTATGCTGCTAGGAATATTCTAAGCCAATATACCTCTCACAACCTCGATATAGGGTAATAGTTTCAATACATTTGCCAGTATTATCAGTGGGAATAAAGACACTGGTAGCCAAGAATCCTAGTAATTGCAACGTTTCACCCGAGCCTCGAGAGAAACGTTGTATTAGGATGATTCTCTGCTACCAGTGTCTTTATTGCCAATAGTCAGCTTTTGCCACTGTCTGTCTACCAGCATTATCATTGTGATTTGGATAATCTCGTAAAGGGTAATTATGTAATTTTAATTTTTTTTATTTATAAATGTATCATAACATTAGCTATCGCATTAATGAGATACGAAGTCATTTTTTTATAAAAGTGAACACTATGTCTCATTATGAAGTTGACCACCATCAATTTTTCTGTCATGTCAGTTTGATAACTTGGTGAAGCCCGTGATTGGGTTTAATTCTTCCAAGAGTATCTTTACAGTATCTTTATTGAGGGGGGGGAGGTGTACGTCAGGCATTGCAATCTTGCTTTATCTTCAACAAAACTGCCATCCTGGTTCCGTAATACAGTGAGCTTTGTTTTGTGTTCCAGCTTGCCGTAGGAAACCCGAGTCAAGCCTGATGCCTAATGGTTAGTACTGACTACCCGTCTATAATGTAACTCACTGTGGCTTGACATCATAAATCTATGTGCACGATACCGTCAAACCTCAGTGATTCAATGTCGTGGATTCACCCGTTTCTCATTCAAGATCGGTTTAATAACCGGGAAATTTTCCTTAAGAGACGAATTAAAAAACAAGAAAAAAAAAAAAACAGATGAATTCAGGAGGTTGACCGTATTTGTTACATATGTGTGAGTGAAGTAAAGCTGTTATGTATTGTGTACTGCTGTTACTAACCGGACGTCCCCCACCCCCCACCTTCAATAGTCTACATATATAAGGGTTGTTAAACAATATTTTCGGAGCTGTCATCTGCTGCCATGGTGTTTTAGAAGGGAAAGACTTGCCAGAGCACAATCAAACCTTTACTATGGAGACTTCAAAATTCAGCACATGGTGTAGAGAGAGGATTCAAAACGATCTCAGTTACTAAAACTTAAAATCCTGGAGTATTTATTGTGGGAGCAGCGTAACCAACCCGCAGCATCACCCAGCCCTTGATGTGATGCTCTTGTGGTCACTTCCTCCGGGTAAACATGGCGAGAAATATATGCGTGGCGAAATTACAGACACCGTTACTCGTCCCTTTAACTATAATACTTTAATCGAGTAGCAGTGTGTTGAGTGTGCGTGTGGAGTAACGGGAGTTGGCATCCCTGGCTCGTTGGTAGCATATGGTGGCAGAGCTGCACTCACCGTCCGTCTAGCCATCAGCCAAGTGTTATTAGCGTTCATGCAAACTCATAAATCCATCACAATATCAGTACCATATCACGATATATCCCCATCCCTCCCCCCTTCCCACACTCCCGATCCCCTCCTCACTACCTGGTGGACAGGCCTCTCTACCAGCATGGTGACTGCTAACACTACCACTCACTAACTTTCAACCTCACCTCATCTGTTATTTTTTTTCCATTTTTCACGTCAGTTGATTTGTTAGTATTTTCACGTCAGTTGATTTGTTAGTATTTTCACGTCAGCTAATTTTTCTTTATATATTTTCACTTCATTTATGTTTATATTTTCACTTCATTGTATTTCTGTTTATATTTTCACGTCATTTGATTTATATTTATATTTTCCTGCCAGTTGATATTTGGTCATATTTCCACGTCAGCTGATTTCTGTTACCATTCTCGTTTGTTAAAAGAAGAGTTATTTCTGAGAGTGACGTCACACCTGGTTAAGTATACATCCTCAATACATCACCGATTATAAATATTTTATTATACAGTATTTTAGTCGTATATCTTAGCATCTGGCTGTCCAGTAATTGGACATAATGGTTAATAAAACAGCGAGCATATGGTTGATCGTTAGTGTATATAACCAGGAAACGTGGTCCTTATGAGATGAGTCACGGCAAACAGCACAACAATTCTCGCCCTAATGACATATGGCTGTAAGGGGCAATTTAGATCGTCGCAGACTGATGATTCACCTAAACCATGTTGATGAGAACACTGGGGGGAGGGGGAAGGAGTTGGGTAAAAAAAACAATGCTTTGTAACAAATTCCCGTAAGAGTGTTTTACTTATGCTTATTTGTTTGGATTATCACCCTAAGCGGCATACATCACTCGTGCACATGTTTGAAGGCGCAACTTACTGTTCTTATTCTTTGTTCAGATATATTACGAACACTATTTTTACCAGTTTGTTGATATGACAAAACTCTTAATAAGTAATGTTAAGTTGTGTGTGTGTGTGTGTGTGTGTGTGTGTGTGTGTGTGTGTGTGTGTGTGTGTGTGTGTGTGTGTGTGTGTGTGTCCCAGACTCGGCTGACATTCGTCACCTGAAAGAACAGGCTCCAAAAAGAGCTTTTTTTTCTTCTTCCTTTTAGGGGGACCACGTTTCGCTCTGTACACAGCTTAAGTTATGATCTGATAAAGCTCCTCACAGAGCGAAATGTTGGGACTACGTAAACCATGATGCAGGTCGCTGCAGGCTGGGACTATGTAAACCATGATGCAGGCTGGGACTATATAAATCACAATGCAGGTCACTGCAGGCTGGCAAGGTGGAACTATGCAAACCAGAAGCACACACAAGAGTTGCAATAAAAATAGGAGTCCTTAACAACGGCCTGTTGAGCCTGATGATACAGCAGTTTGTTGATCATCATCTGTTAGTGTGCACACCATGTGCTACCTACCTACACACACACACACACACACCTAGTAGCGTTCAGTGAAAAGGCGGGGGCCAGAAGCTGAGTCTCGACCCCTGCAACTACAATTAGGTGAGTATACACACACACACACACACACACACACACACACACACACACACACACACAGCTTCTCGCATTCTAAATTAACCAAGCTTAGTCCAGCTCTTAACACAGTGTCTTATTCAGTCTCTATGCCTTGTCCAGCTCTCCCAAGTCTTTCAGATTCTCAGTCGCACTATCAGTCTAATTATGAGGCACTGTACTATTATGAGGCACTGTACTATTCTGATATTTATTTCTCTATCGCACAATGCTGAGGTAAAAAAAAAAAAAGTCAGTTTCTGTGAACTTTTTAACATGTTTAAGTGGGGAAGCAACGTTGTCAAACAAAAACTACCCTCTGATGGATGGCCTGATCAACCAGGTAGTTGGTGCTAGCTGCACGCAGTCCAACGTTTGTACCACAGCCCGGCTGATCAGGAACTAGCTTGAGGAACGTGTGATCACACGATGCTACAATTGATCTTTCAGCAAGAATCATTCAGCATGTATCACTCAACATGCATCATTCAGAGTATATAATTCAACATGTATCATTTATCATGTATCATTCACCATGTATCATTCAACATGTATCAATCAGCATAAGTCATTCACTATGTATTATTCAAAATGTATCGTTCAACACGTGTCATTCAATACGTATAAATCAGCATGTGTGTCATACACCATGTATCATTCGTCACACCCTCAGCACCACCACAAATTTTGATTAGTGGGTTTAGGTTTGAGAAGAACCTGCCTAGTATGGGCCAGTAGGCGTGCTGCAGTGTTCTTTCTTATGTTCTTATGTATTCTAGTACCACAGCAATCCGTAGAGAAAATTCTCCACATCAACGTTCTCTCCGCCTACTACCCCTTTCAATGTCATTCCAGTCATATGTTGTGCGAGGTCTTCCACAAGTCATATTTTACATGCCTTTTGGAACCAGGTCTTCAAACATGCTACTGAGTTACCAGAGTCTATTATTCTCATTTCTAACAATATCCTCTACAATTTGAGTGAGGACACGATTTCCCCTTCCCATTTTCCTCATTGAGAGGAGAACAGAGAGGATTACTTATTACTAATATCTTTATTTCTACAAGTACATGTACAAGGTATACTATTGTACATTATTTGTCCCAGGATGCGACCCACACCAGTCGACTATCATCCAGGTACCCATTTTACTGATGGGTGAACATAGACATCCGGTGTAAGGAAACACGCCCAGTGTTTCTACCCTAGCCGGGAATCGAATCCGAACACTCGCCATGTGAAGCGAGAGCTTTTGCCACCAGGTAGCTGTTCTTATATACCGGTGTGGTATCATTGTTGTTGTTATTATTATTATTATTATTATTATTACTATTATTATTATTTATATTCAAGGGGAACACCAAACATAGCCTGGGGAAGGGGACGTAATCAGGTATGATCAGAGGAGCGGGTGATTAACTCCCATTCCTTGCATCAAGAGCCCTCCATCAACATCAAAACTCCCCCTTGGAGTTGAGTCAGAGAACCTGGATGAAGCCATAATGGAAGATTATAACGAATCAGTGCTAAAAGACAGAGACTTGCATTATTACATGGCCCTTATTGACATCATTTAGCCGATGCAGCTGCTTTAACATGTCACAAACAGATAAATAAACCTGGAGAAGAATGAATATATATATATATATATATATATATATATATATATATATATATATATATATAATATATATATATATATATATATATATATATATATATATATATATATATGTATGTATATATATATATATATACACACACACACACACACACACACACACACACACACACACACACACACACACACACACACACACACACACGCACGCACAAAATAACCACGGGAGCGGTTGAATGATAGCTCCAGGCCTTTCGTGTTGCAATCAACACATTAGGAACTTACAATGTTGCAGAAAAGATGAAGTACAAGCAAACACGTTCAGAGGAAGCGCTTTTGCTACACACACACACACACACACACACACACACACACACATATACATATATATATATATATATATATATATATATATATATATATATATATATCTTCACGTTAATTAAACACCCCTCATATCATTTTTCCTAGGATTTTTTAACTCTTGTCGGAACTATTTTGTTTCAATTCTGGCAAAAACAAAATAAACTGTCAAACAAAATTTAGTTTCACCTCTGGCAAACAAGCAAAACTGTTCTACACTGGCAAACAAAATTTAGTTTCAATCCTGGGAAACAAAATTTTGTTTAAATTCTGGCAAACAAATAATACCAGCAAAATTGTCTCTCTACAACCTGGAAGAAAAAGTACATAAAGTAAGGTCTTCCCGAAGACCCGGGTGTTTTTTTTTTTTCTCCCCGACACTTCGATTACAAATCTTGATTTGCAATTCATTATCATTTATAATTTGAGTCACCGTGGAATACTTGATTGCGATTATGTTGTGCTCAATTTTTCTTTCTCTCTCTCTCTCTCTCTCTCTACACCATCATCAAAGCTACTTTCCTGCTCACTCTCACATTCACTCTCCTCTCCCAAACACTAACAACCGAATCCCTTTCCCTATCTCCCACAATTCTCTGAAAATCTTTTCACCCCTCCCTCTTCCTTACCCCATCACCCCCTCCCCGAGACCTCTGATATACGAAACACGTCGATCTGGTTGTTAAAAGCATATTTTTAGTTAAACTTGGGTGATTCTGGGTAG